GGGCAACTTCTGTGGCGGAGAACCGAATGGCACATAAAAGTTTAAGTCTCATGCTACAAGCTTGTTCCTGGTTGCGCCTTCTTCTAGGTCTTGTGTCGACAAGGCAACGACAATACCCTTTCGAATGCACTATTTGTAAGGCTACCGTCTGCTTGCTATGTTGCACAACCAGAACAATTGTCCGCCCCGTTGAAAGGCTGGTTACTTCCCTGCGTGGCAAAGAGGAAAGGAGGAGAGGCTCTAGGACTGATTGGCCAAGGCGCAGCACCACGGTATCTTTTGTTCACGCGTCACGTACGCTGAGTCTGTTAGATCGGATAACGTTCAAGGACCCGCAAATGTTAAAACAGCGTTTGACTGATGATGCTATGTATGCACGGGCGAGTAGATAGTGAGTTTGGTGGAGGTAGCGTGTGGTGGAGTCAACACCGCCAAAGACACGTACGGGAAGGCTATTTAGGAGAGCCTGATGCTATGTATGCACGGGCGAGTAGCTAGTGAGTTTGGTTGAGGTAGCGTGTGGTGGAGTCAACACCGCCAAAGGCTATTTAGGAGAGCCTTTTGTGCTTGGGTCGAGCTGCATGTGTCAATCACGCATTCTGCTGTTTTACAATTAAACGCTGCACCATATCGGGTCAAACTTTATTGCATATCCGCGTCTCTGAGCAGCGTGCATGCTGTGGCTCTTGGCTGACGATGATCAGGAACTTCTGCACGTAGTTATCAGAGACAGAGTAATAAGCTTTCAACGCATATTACCGCGACAGTTTAGCATATCCTTGGCTTCGGCCACTAGAAACAATATCTTGTTTTCGCAGTATTGGCAGTAGCGTCTTCTCTATCAGGGCCCTCCTCAACGTTTACAAAAACATCTTACTTCATGCACGCGCTTTACACTGAAATTGTAGTTATGGCGATAAGACAAAATCCTAAATTCAAGTCGTTGGTGTTTGCTGGTTACGGCGCATATACAGTGGTGAAGGTGTTTGGGTGCATCATGATGCTCACACCCAGCGACGAGGCCGACACTTCTGGAGGCTTCGGTGCGCGTGTTGGATAGGAGTGTCCAGTGGTCGTACGCGGTCTCCGTCCTGTGTGGACATGTTGTTGTTTGTCGCTGAGGCAGAGGAGAGTTGTCCTTGTGACGCGTCATCGCGAGCAACCAGAAAACGCTTACCTGATCTGGGTGGATCCTGCTACGTGGTGGTGGGCAGTGTGCACGTTCTTGTATCGTTCTTGGTCTTGCACGAGCAAGGCAACGATGCGCGCTAATTTTGCGATGCACTTCGGTGACAGAAGATGCACGTGCTGCTGTTGGAAAGTCAAAACAATTATTGCGTGTGAGTACTGTTTGGAGGGGTGCAAGAGATGCTGGAAAGGTTGAAAGGGCTTGTGGCTAAGGCTTTGGTATATGGGACCTGGCTATCGTTTTGTTCCGTAGCGGACTCGCTGAGCCAGGGGGGTTGAATATGTTTAGGAAGCTTTTTGAATGTTGCGCATGGTTTGGCTGGAGCTGTGTGATATGACTGGCTTGGGAGAGCAGACAGTGCGTTTTGTGGAGGGAGCGCGCGATGCAGCTAAAGGCGCGAAAACTTGGTGTGTTCATAACGGGACAGTGGGAGGTGTACACGAACATTCTACTTTGCGCATACGTTTCGTGTTGAGGCCTCTTGTTTATGGTGAAGAGGCGCACAATAATGTTCACGTTGCTGGTGTTTGCTGGTTTCGGCGCATAGGCAGTGGTAAAGTTGTTTGGGTGCATCATGATGCTCACACCCAGCGACGAGGCCGACACTTCTGGAGGCTTCGGTGCGCGTGTTGGATAGAAGTGTCCAATGGTCGTACGCGGTCTCCGTCCTGTGTGGACTTGTTGTTGTTTGTCGCTGAGGCAGAGGAGAGTTGTCCTTGTGACACGTCATCGCGAGCAACCAGAAAACGCTTACCTGATCTGGGTGGATCCTGCTACGTGGTGGTGGGCAGTGTGTGTCAACTGTGGGTGACAGAAGATGCACGTGCTGCTGTTGGAAAGTCAAAACAATTATTGCGTGTGAGTGCTGTTTGGAGGGGTGCGAGAGATGCTGGAAAGGTTGAGAGGGCTTGTGGCTGAGGCTTTAGTATACGGGACCTGCCTATCGTTTTGTTGTGTCGCACACTCGCTGAGCTAGGGGGGTTCAATATGTTTTGCGGACATGTTTGTTGATGCACATGGTTTGGCTGGCGCTGTGTGATGCTGCTGGCTTGGGGGAGCAGACAGTGCGTTTTGTTGAGTGAGCGCGCGATGCAGCTGCCTGGTGTCATAAAAATTTTTGAACAATACATGAGATCGCATTTTGATTCTCTATTGCAACAACACGTAAACCAGAGTGGCTCAGTTCAAGTCACGTACATCTAAATACCCAATTATACGATACGGAGACTTGTGTTTTTGATAAACAGTCGCTTGGATCTCTTTATTGCACTCCTTAGGACATCCTTTTTCCCGACGTTACAGGATTATTTTGCCGAGTTCCGCCTTAAACACACCGCTCGTCACGCGAGATAAAACGTTATAACGAATATTGGTACTTTTTTGTATTGCATGCCTGGTGTCATAAAAATTTAAGGCGCGCAGAGGTGGTGTGTTCATCACAGGACAGTGGGACGTGTACACGAAGATTCTACTTTGCGCATAAGTTTTCTGTTGAGGCTTCGTGTTAATGGCGGACAGACGCACAATAATGTTCACGTTGCTGGTGTTTTCTGGTTTCGGCGCATAGGCAGTGGTAAAGTTGTTTGGGTGCATCATGATGCTCACACCCAGCGACGAGGCCGACACTTCTGGAGGCTTCGGTGCGCGTGTTGGATAGAAGTGTCCAATGGTCGTACGCGGTCTCCGTCCTGTGTGGACTTGTTGTTGTTTGTCGCTGAGGCAGAGGAGAGTTGTCCTTGTGACACGTCATCGCGAGCAACCAGAAAACGCTTACCTGATCTGGGTGGATGCTGCTACATGGTGGTGGGCAGTGTGCACTTTTTTGTATCGTTCTTGGTCTTGCACGGGCACGGCAACGATGCGCGCTAATTTTGCGATGCACTTCACGCGACAAAGAATGTGTGTGCTGATGCTGGAGAGACGTAACAAGTATTGCGTGTGACTGCTTTTTGGATGGGTGCAAGAGATGCTGGAAAGGTTTAGAGGCCTTGTGGATGAAATTTTAGTATATGGGATTTGGCTATCGTTTTGTTCCGTAGCACACTCACTGAGCCAGGGGGGTTGAATATGTTTAGGAAGCTTTTTGAATGTTGCGCATGGTTTGGCTGGAGCTGTGTGATATGACTGGCTTGGGAGAGCAGACAGTGCGTTTTGTGGAGGGAGCGCGCGATGCAGCTAAAGGCGCGAAAACTTGGTGTGTTCATAACGGGACAGTGGGAGGTGTACACGAACATTCTACTTTGCGCATACGTTTCGTGTTGAGGCCTCTTGTTTATGGTGAAGAGGCGCACAATAATGTTCACGTTGCTGGTGTTTGCTGGTTTCGGCGCATAGGCAGTGGTAAAGTTGTTTGGGTGCATCATGATGCTCACACCCAGCGACGAGGCCGACACTTCTGGAGGCTTCGGTGCGCGTGTTGGATAGGAGTGTCCAGTGGTCGTACGCGGTCTCCGTCCTGTGTGGACATGTTGTTGTTTGTCGCTGAGGCAGAGGAGAGTTGTCCTTGTGACGCGTCATCGCGAGCAACCAGAAAACGCTTACCTGATCTGGGTGGATCCTGCTACGTGGTGGTGGGCAGTGTGCACTTTTTTGTATCGTTCTTGGTCTTGCACGGGCAAGGCAAGGTTGCGCGCCAATTTTGTTTTCAACTGTGGGTGACAGAAGATGCACGTGCTGCTGTTGGAAAGTCAAAACAATTATTGCGTGTGAGTACTGTTTGGAGGGGTGCAAGAGATGCTGGAAAGGTTGAGAGGGCTTGTGGCTGAGGCTTTAGTATATGGGACCTGGCTATCTTTTTGTTGTGTCGCACACTCGCTGAGCTAGGGGGGTTCAATATGTTTGGCGGACATGTTTGTTGATGCACATGGTTTGGCTGGCGCTGTGTGATGTGCCCGGCTTGGGAGAGCAGACAGTGCGTTTTGTGGAGGGAGCGCGCAATGCAGCTAAAGGCGCGCAGCGGTGGTGTGTTCATCACAGGACAGTGGGAGGTGTCCACGAACATTCTACTTTGTGCACATGCTTTTCGTTGCGTTTTGGTGTTTACGGCGAAGAGGCACACAATAATGTTCACGTTGCTGGTGTTTGCTGGTTACGGCGCATACGCTGTGGTGAAGTTATTTGGGTGCATCATGATGCTCACACCCAGCGACGAGGCCGACACTTCTAGAGGTTCGGTGCGCGTGTTGGATAGAAGTGTCCAGTGGTGGTACGCGGTCCCCGTCCTGTGTGGACTTGTTGTTGTTTGTCGCTGAGGCAGAGGAGAGTTGTCCTTGTGACGCGTCATCGCGAGCAACCAGAAAACGCTTACCTGATCTGGGTGGATGCTGCTACATGGTGGTGGGCAGTGTGCACTTTTTTGTATCGTTCTTGGTCTTGCACGGGCACGGCAACGATGCGCGCTAATTTTGCGATGCACTTCACGCGACAAAGAATGTGTGTGCTGATGCTGGCGAGACGTAACAATTATTGCGTGTGAGCGCTGTTTGGAGGGGTGCAAGAGATGCTGGAAAGGTTAAGAGGGCTTGTGGCTAAGGCTTTAGTATATGGGACCTGGCTATCGTTTTGTTCCGTAGCGGACTCGCTGAGCCAGGGGGGTTCAATATGTTTGGCGGACATGTTTGTTGATGCACATGGTTTGGCTGGCGCTGTGTGATGTGCCCGGCTTGGGAGAGCAGACAGTGCGTTTTGTGGAGGGAGCGCGCAATGCAGCTAAAGGCGCGCAGCGGTGGTGTGTTCATCACAGGACAGTGGGAGGTGTCCACGTACATTCTACTTTGTGCACATGCTTTTCGTTGCGTTTTGGTGTTTACAGCGAAGAGGCGCACAATAATGTTCACGTTGCTGGTGTTTGCTGGTTACGGCTCATACGCAGTGGTGAAGTTATTTGGGTGCATCATGATGCTCACACCCAGCGACGAGGCCGACACTTCTGGAGGCTTCGGTGCGCGTGTTGGATAGAAGTGTCCAGTGGTCGTACGCGGTCCCCGTCCTGTGTGGACTTGTTGTTGTTTGTCGCTGAGGCAGAGGAGAGTTGTCCTTGTGACGCGTCATCGCGAGCAACCAGAAAACGCTTACCTGATCTGGGTGGATCCTGCTACATGGTGGTGGGCAGTGTGCACTTTTTTGTATCGTTCTTGGTCTTGCACGGGCACGGCAACGATGCGCGCTAATTTTGCGATGCACTTCACGCGACAAAGAATGTGTGTGCTGATGCTGGCGAGACGTAACAATTATTGCGTGTGAGTGCTGTTTGGAGGGGTGCAAGAGATGCTGGAAAGGTTGAGAGGCCTTGTGGGTGCGGCTTTAGTATATGGGATTTGGCTATCGTTTTGTTCCGTAGCGCACTCGCTGAGCCACGGGGGTCGAATATGTCTGGCGGACTTCTTGAATGTTGCGCATGGTTTGGCTGGCGCTGTGTGATGCGGCTGTCTTGGGAGAGCAGACAGTGCGTTTTGTGGAGTGGGCGTGCGGTGCAGCTAAAGCCGCGAGGAGTTGGTGTGTGATCCATGTATCTGAGCGCCTCCTGAGCCGCCATTTTGTGCTGCGCCGCTTGCTGCTTCCACCCTTGCTCTTGCTGACGCACCGTACAGCACTGCATTTTACCGGACGAAGCCATTAGGCATATCTGAGATTTACAGCAGTCTGCGCGCTGTGGGCTGTGCCTGGCCATGACTAAGAATGTCGTAGATTGGTACTGGGGAGCGAGACATGCGTTTCACGCGGATCCACAAACGACAACGTGCGACGTTCTTGGCTTCTCCCACAAATCAAAACGCTTGTTTCTGTGAATGGGCTGGCGGGAGCGTCGTGTCTACCACGGCAGAGTGGGAGGTAAACACGAACATTCTACTTTGCGCACATGTTTCACGTTGCGCTTTCGTGTTTATGACGGAAAGACGCACAGTAATGTTCACCTTACTGGTGTTTGCTGATTACAGCGCATACGCAGTGGTGAAGATGCTTGGGTGGATCATGATGCTCACACCCAGCAACGAGGCTGACACTGCTGGAGTCTCGAATGCACGTCGTCTAGCCTAGTGTCTAATGTCCGTACGCGGATACTCGTTATGTCGGGTCAAGCATTATTGTTTCATGCAGTGAGCAAACACTCTAATGCGGGTAACGTTGTTGGTGTTTGGTACTTATAGCGATAGTGTGAAGAAATGATTTCTTCTTGCACCACGTCCTATGACTGCAGAGTTCAGCACCACATAAATATGCCAGACATTTTGATAACTTATTTATTCTTCGGCTCTGTCCTTGCTTTGGTCTTTTCTCACGAACTCAGACAGTTCGTCGCTCCTTGCTTGATACCATTTATTCCCGTCATTCCGCATGCGAGTCCAATGATGTTGAAAATTCGGGCTTCTGTTCAAGTAAATAGAGACTGCTGGAGCTGGTGGCAACTCAATAAATTTCACTTGTTCACATTTAGTAATTTGGATGATCGATGTGTTCCAAGCTTGTATGTCATATTTGATTTTCCGTGAGCCAGATGAAAGAACAAAATCAAGTTTTGTTACTTTGCGTTAGTTCAGGTCTATCTTAGAAAGCAAACTCAAGCAGCGTGTGCCGAACACAGAACATTTAGTCGTGGAAACGTTCACTGACGCTCGAGGCGCAAGCACGCATTCACTGTAGGTGCAGGTACACATAGTGGTCTCTTATCCTAGTCCCCACTAACGCAGAAATAGCCCATCATGACTGCAGAGCGAATGGCAACTACCCTTGTTGTGCTTTACTTCGTGCTGTTTTGTTCGTTTGGGAAACATACATTGACCTTCTATGTGTCATAGCTCAGCTGATCTCCAGTAAAGTCCCGAGCTCCACAGGAGCACTTCACTACGCATGCGAGGTTAAGTATACGGACAGGAGCTATGCTAAAAATATGACAGCTGCCGTTTGTTCAATGGATTGTCGGATGTGTTTATATAGCGTGAGCAAACTATTCTGCGTCTTGGCATGATGAAAATTTTCATTCTCTACAGTGTCGGACAAACTGAAGCTTTTTCTCTATCGCAAATTAAATTAGGCTGTGAGTGTCTGCGCAGTGACCTCTACACCATGTGGCTTATTTGTTGTATACCTTCCCGTGAAACTGTGTAGCAAGACTATGGTCAAACCATTCCTCCATAGTGCTGTTTAGTTCTATTCCGCCTATACACTTACACCGCACCCCTAAATTCGTTCTTCTTAAATGCGCGAACGAGTCTGTTTTAGGGTCTCGCAGTTAGTACGGAAGGTCATGTATCTGGAAGGATAAGCAGTGGGCCGCGTATAGTTGGGTTGGGCCAATTTTATCTAAATATATTTCTAAAAGCTATGCAGCAGATATAGCGGCTTAAAACATAACATGGGTTCAAACGCACGCTCGAAAAAACAGCACATCACTTTAGAAAAGCAACGCTATCCACAATACGCTTCGCCGGCATTCCTGTTTGTCGAATATTCTTTTGCCATGAAATTCAGTTAACTTTGGGACTCCCAGAGAGATTTTGATGGAGCGTGATCTTTTTGCTTTGTTTGTTTCGCCGAAAGACCGTGCGCGACACGCTGTTTTCATATTTTCAGTATCAAATATTGTGCCGCTGATTAACAGCTGCATAGATGCCTAGAAATCAATAATGGTTTGTTCTGGCTCACTAAGATTTACAAAAGAACGCTCTTTGCTCCCAAAGGCGGCGCAACGATTTGCCGTGCGAAAACATAGTCGTGCAATACCCTTCCAATTCTTCATTTTTTCTACAGATAAAGCGACACTTTTCCTCCGAACAAACGCTGTATTAATTCACCTCACTGCACCTTTGGATTCACCCTGAACGCAGTCAGTGAGGTGCAAAGCGGCAGCAATGCTGCTTTGACAACGCTTAGCATTTCCCGTTGGTGGCTTGCATTTAATTGAAGACTTGAAAATGCAGTACCCACAAATAAAAAAGACGTCAAGAAACACGTAGTAAGAACAGAACAACTACTGGTGCATCTCCTCTTTGGTTTGCTTTACTCAAATGCCTCTTAGGCTTGTTTGAACCATCGAACCCAACAGAACCTGGCCGAGCAAGGCCGGCGCACGGTTTTTCATTAAAAGCAAGGAATCAAGAGTCATGATTGAACTGTGATATGAAAAATTCGGTTCAAGCGATCACATTCCCGTTTCGCAAGTTGGAAACACTACAATATTATTACGAAGACAGGTTGTTGAGAAGTACAAACAAGCCAGTCGGTTAATTTGCTTCGGCATCAACATTTAGGGCGTGAGTCGGTCTTACAAATAAAAAGAAACGAATTCTGACGTTTCCTGAAACAGAGATATTATGTGTGTGTAGTTCTTTTAGGAAGACTTATTACAAGAAACGTATCCATCTCAAGCAGTTTGTTCTAGGCAGCCATTTAGTGAAATCTGCTCCATTCAAGATATTTCGAATTGGGGATTTGTCGAACGCTTTAAACGGTAGCACTCACAATATCCTGGATACGTATCATAACGCTTAATATGACGAAACACGCGTCACATTTATGCAACTCTACTTCACCGAGGGTTGCGAAGAGGCCCCATATAGGTGACTTTGTGTTGCCTGCGGACGTACAACTTCTGCGTTTCTGCCTGCCGTGAACTTCAAACATTTAGCTCCACTTTCACGATATTTTGGAATGCTCTCACCTGCTTGAGTATCTGAACGTTCTTGCTACGCTTCGTAGTACTCCCCCCTGAAAACGGTTCTGCAGTAAAATGGATACTCGGTCACAGTTGGTCAACCACAAGCTGCATGTTCCTAGACCTAAACCCACGAAGGAAGCTTGTGCATCCTTGTTGGCAGTGGGCGTTGGCTCAAGAAATTTGAGTAGCATTTACACCAAACCAATCTACTAATGTGTCCACTGGTTAACAATAACAAGAACTTGCTGACCACGCTGTTGTTGCCCCAGATGCTCCGCTAAGTGAAAGTAGGACGGAAAGATTCTCCGAAACCTTGTTCCGTGTGTGGCACTTTAGCTAATCGAGCGTTAATCGCATATGATATTCCCAAAGTGCGTGGCAAGCAGTGTTCAGAATGTTCGTAAGAAGACCCCCGTTTTTAAGCATACCCTGCTACTTCGCCAAAATCCTTCAGCACAGTCGCTATTGTTTTTATTCTGTCTCTGCGATTCCGCGCAACTGCTTCTTGAACGTTGGCTGTAAATACCAGCGCGTTTAATGCCCCCCAGTTCTGCAATTTACACTCTCTACTTACTGTCTGAATTTGGATTTTCTCCGAGTACAGTTTGTGCGTGTGTGAATCCATATTGTTCATTTATTCGTTGGCTTCGGCATGCTGCTGCTGCTGCTGCTGCTGTGAATCTAGCTTTTGTTATGATATTCTCTAAGAGTGGTATCCGCGGACACATTTTCTCACACTTCCTCCTTCCTCGCTAAACAGGGTAGTCAGAGACGCCGACATGATTGTTATGGAAGCTGGTGAGCGTTACTTCTTGCACAAAGTGTGCCATAGTTCAGCATATAATCACTGCAACTGAGCTCAGTGTTGAGTGATGCTATGAAGTGTTGCAGTGTATGTTTAGTTTAGTTAAGTGGCCTAAGCGTCAGCAACCAGGCGTATTCAAATTGCAGATGTTCCTGCCCCTCTGTTTCATGAAATGCAATAGCCGCCACTTTTATTTCACTCCTTCTCCAGAGTGTGCGTGCACTGTCCCAGTAGCTTGACACTCGCAAAATGCCAGTATAACATTATTCTCATGCCATGCAGCTAATTGCGTGTAGAAGCAGCGGAAGCCCCACCCACGGCGAAGAGGAGAGGAGATTAGCTCGCATTTTTGCAAAAGTTTAGCAACGAGCCAGCAATAAGTACCGTTGTGTAATTGTTCTCTGGAAGCACACCCGTGAGCCACAAAAGGCAGTGTGTATTCGCGGTAGCCAGCGGTAACAGCTAGCACCGGAATCACGGGGAAGAGTGTTTTGCTAA